GAGATCTCCCCAATACACGAAAGACAAAGTTGAGCGTCAAAAGTTAGGCACTTATGTACCATATCTGGGCACCCACATAAATACTTGATTTGTAGAGATGCGGAACCTCCACAATTCACTAACTTCAGCAGAAATAGCAGGAGCTCAATACCTGAAAATCAGCCCTCTTCTGTAGGTGCTAATTTCAGGCAATCACCTTTCGGAATGCTGGTACTGGCCCATTAAGACCCTGGGACTTTGGGGGAAAGTTCTAGGGGGACTAAATACTAAATTAATGTAGTTGCTCTGATTCTGCCTTGTTCGTTTTGTTGGTGTTTTTTGTCTGGTAATTTCTCAGTACACTTGGCGGGCACCTTTCTCCAGCTCTTATTTTGAATGAATATTTGTCCGTAGGGATGTTGATTTTCTGACTAGAGGTAAAGGTGTTTTAAGGAAGTTAAGATTTCCAGCCGAAAGCCTCTGATGCTCAAGGGCGCCAGGCCCGTCACGCGGGCTCCTAGCAGGGCGGCGCAAACGCACCTTCCCCAGGGTCCTTCAAGGAAGTGTGAGGCCGGGCGGCACCTGCGCGTTTCACCAGGACACGCCCTCCCGCCACAGGCCGCCGGCGCCTGTTCGCAGCGTCCCCCCCCGCAGCGCCCAGCGAACGGAAACTGGCCCCGCCCCGAGCCAGACCCGGCCCACGCGCCTCTCACGAGCCAGTGAACCCGGAAACGAGGCTCCCGCCAGGCCCCTCGCGGCCAGCGCCTCAGCCGCCCGCTTTCCCGCCCAAACCAACTGTCTCCGCCCCGCGCGCTTCCCGTGGTCGCACGTGTCTGCTGCCTCTCGACTGTGGGGAAATAAAACCAGCGCGCGGAGCTGGAAACCAAAACCTGATGCCCCCTTCCCAGCCTACGCCGGTCTCCTTGGCCGCCTCACGGGCTCGTCGCACAATAAAATGCCCGTTTCTCGGATTAGAGGGAATGAAAAACAGCAGCGGGAGGGCAGCTACTGGGGCGCTGGGCTCCTCCGTGTTGAGGCGCAGGGCAGGGCACGAAGGTTTGCGCTGGCTTGACGCTCTGCGCCACGTTAATTAAACTAAAGGCTTAATTGCTATTGAATTGCTACCGAGCTGGCTCTGACGGGCGAGAGCCCAGCACCCCCCAAAACACTTCCAGGCGAGAAGGTGGGTTGCCAGATGGTTCAAACAAAAATACTGACCCCCCCCCCCCCAAAAAAAAAACCCTGGGAAAATTCTGTTTAAGGAAAAAAAGGTGGGGAAGAGATCCTCCATGCCATGTGTCTGCTGGGTCCAGCAGTGGTGGCACCCCTCAGGGAGAGGACTTGTATTCCTGCCCACTGGAAGAGAGGGGGACAGGGTGTAGGGGTAGGTGTGTGTGAGCAGCTGATCCTCCTGCACCTTGCCACGCTTTCCTTGGGAATGGATGCTGCCCTAAGAGTGCAGGCATGCCCATGTGCCGTGTGCAGGACTGCTGAGAGAGAGAGAGAGAGAGTGTGTGTGTGTGTGTGTCCCTCCTTCCGTCCGTGGCCCCAGCCTCCTTCCATTGGTGGTTGGTAGAGGGAGGGTGTACCTGGTGTCATGAGTATGGCAGGGCTCCTGGTGCAGCCTACTGGACCTGAGTGCCCTGGACTGTTGCTGCATGTGCTCCCACATGCACAGGCTGCTGCTCGATCCCCAGGCCACAAAGGCCAAGTTAGGAGCATGCCCCATACCCCTTGCCTTCCACCCCCTGCACTCTATGTGTGTACAGAACACAATGGCACTCACCTGATGTGGATTCCCCGGCCTCAGGCGATGCCTGGGACACTTCCAGTGGGACAGGTACCAGCTCCAGGGTCAGGAGGGTGACAGAGCTTGCCTAGTCTGTTTCCCCTTCTTCCTCCTCCTTTTCATCTCTGTCTCCTGGAAGGGCAACAACAGGATTCTCGAACCCTGAGTCTACCACTGCGGGGAGACTGCCCCATCTCTGCAGGATGTGATCCAGGTCCATATAATAGGGACAGATGTGGGTTTCTGCCCTGGAGGAGGAGTTGTGCTCTTGCAGGAGTTGTGCTCTTGGGCCCTGGTGTATACCTGGCAGAGCAACTTCACTTTCATCTGCACCTGCTTCTGGGTGTGGGTGTATTCTTTGGTGGCCAGGCTCTTGGCCATGTGGCCATAGATATCAGCATGCCTGCATCTGGTGTGGAGATCCTGGAGATTTGCCTCCTTACCCCAGACCTCAGTGAAGTCCAGGATCTCTGCACCAGGCCAGGAAGGTGCACACCTCTTTCGGGCCTGGGCAGGCTCCTGGGAGCTGCTTGACTATACCCTGGGAGCAGTGGAGGGCTGTCTGAAAGCAGCAGACTGGCTCATTTTTGTAAAAATTGAGGCAGTGGCAGCTACAGGTGGCTCAGGGCTGTCAAGGCCTTGTGCCTGCCACAAGCCCTTTTTCCTGAGGCTGCAGCTTTAGGGGCTCCAGGGGAAGTGGGGACTACAGAGTTTGGCTGTGTGTGGACAGAGCAGCCAGCAGGGCACCTTGGGAAGGGCTGGAGGCCCCTCATTTCGAAATAATTGCAGCTGCCCTACACAGGCCCTATTTCAAAATAGCTGTTTTGGAAGAGGCGTTATTACTTGTACAGTGACGTTTACCAACGCCAAAATAAGCCGCCTGTTACTTTGAAATTATTTTGAAATAACGCCACTTCTGTGTAGGTAGGTATTTCAGAATATTGGCTGTTATTCCAGACTTTGCAGTGTGGACATACCCTATGAGTCTGGCACCTGCATGAATTTGGATGCCAAATGCTTGTCCTGTCTCTGCTCCCACACCCCCTCTCGGAGAGCTGAGCTCCCCTAGATTACTACAGCTCTGCCTGTAGGCCAGAGCCCCTAATTGATTGCTGTCCTGTCCTGACTGAGGGCACCAAGCAAACAGACTTCCTCCTGTTGCTCGGCCTGACTACAAGCCTGGTCCATTCACACTGGGCTAATTTTCCCCTGATCCAAAGCACCCCGGAAGTGTACGAAGGGGTGTGATCTCTTGCCCTGATGAATGGGGAGTTATTCTGAAATAACTCCTTAATTTAGACGTGCCTAGAGTGTACGATGCTGTTGCTACTGTTTTCAGAGAAGAGACAGCCCTCAGATTTTTAATTATTCAGCTCTTGCACCAATGAAAATAAGAAATAATGTCTGTTATTTGCACTGGTACATTTATATCAGTCTCTGTAACTTGAACAAATCTTCAGTGCAGATAAGGCCAGAGAGAAAAAGGCCCCAGAGGAAAAAAAAACCTCAACCCTTTCACTTCAGATAATTTGCTCTTGTTGCCAGTCTCACCAGAAAAATTAAGCAATGATGTACCAGAGAAATAAAACTGTCTTTTCTACTTCTCACCGGCAGATAGCACAGTGAAGTGCTGCAGGGCCAGTCCTAACCAACTGGTGGCCCCTGGCGACCGCCTGGCTCGCCTATAGGGTTGCCAGATGGTTTAAAAAAAAATACCGAACAAAAATTTGTCAAGCAAAAACACCAACCAACCAAACAAAAGAGTTGGGGAGTAACCAGGGAAACCTGGGGGGAGGATTCGGGAGGTCAGGCTGAAATGTGGTCGCAGCCCACCCCTAAGGCTGGCTCTGTTGGTGGCCCCCTGAAAATGGCAGCTTTGGGCAACCACCTGGTTTGCCCGCCCCTAAGACCGGCTCTGAAGTGCTGGAGCACAATGATCGGGGGTGGGGATGGGGGAGAGTGCAGGGAGCACTGTTACCATCTGTGCTATTTCTGTTCTGTGGGCAAAGCAACCCCTTCATTCTCCAGCATGGTCAAACCACCATCTTTTATCGCCACTGAAATCTACCCAAAAGAAAGGTTTTTTTCTACCCCAAATGGTTGGTTGTGATCATATCAGCATGCACACATCTCCAGAGCCACCTGCAGCATGTCATTTCCTGGTAAATGGATTCTGTCTCAACATCAGGTGAGATGTAATTTCCTGCTATAATATAACCACCACCCACTTTTATTAAATAGCTGAGCAAATAATCCTGTACCCACTGACATAACTTGATAGCAGTAATATGAAACTCTAATGAAATGGTTTACAGTGACAGCTGAGGTGACTTCTGGGACAGGAATTGCAGTGGGTGCTACAGATCAGGATTTGGGTGCACTGACTGAGCTGGGTGTGTGACATAGGACTCGAATAGCAGGCGGTGCTGCTAGTCAGGAATCAGGAATGAGACACATTGGCAGAACTTTGTGAAATACTGAAAAAGCTGGATCAAGATGAAGAGTTGTGGTAGGTTGGGGTGAGAGGCATTGACAGAGGTGTGTGAGAGCCAGGGGCTTGCAATAGCAGAGTGGCTGCATGGTAGAACTGAGGTGATCTGGCAGGGCTAAATGCCACAGTGAAAGTAACTTAAAATGTCTTACAAGTACTGTCCTATTGTAACCTGGGTCCCTGCCAGCTCTTTAAATAGCTCCCTGATGGCTTTTGCCACAGCTCAGCCAGCTCTTGCCAGAGCTGTGCACCAGGGTGCACCCCTTTACTTTTACCTCTGGTTATATGTGATGAAAGCTTGCACTGCCTCTGTCTGTATGGCTAGCCTGCTCACTGCTCTCAGTCTTTGTCTCCCTCTCTGATTCACCCACTAGGGAGGAAAAAAGTAGAATAAATATTTGAAAAAAATGTCTGCATATTGTCTCTCAGGATCTGTTCTGCCTAAGAGAGGTTCTTTGGTGTTAATGGAGCCTTTTGTTTTTGGGGGGTTTTGTACAGTTTATTTATTGTATGCATCAAATCACAAAAATACAGAAGTATGAAACTTTGGTATTCTCTTGTTTCCTAGTTTTGTTCTCTTTCTTTTTGTGCATCTGTTTATCTGTGTCTGCCTTTCTTTCTCTTTTTTTTTTTTTTTTTTGCTCTCTGTTCTGAGGTTCCTGTCCCTTCAGTCTCTCTGGCCTTTGCTATGAAAGCTGCAGGGGGTATGCGGAAGAGCCAGGCAGACCCGTTTTACAAGTGTGTGTGTGTGTACCAATGTTAGAAATACAATCACATGATCTCCCCAGGGAGACAGTTGAGAAGACTTTGAGGAATAAAGAAGAGAAGGTGGGCAGGTTCAGGGTATGAAAATACATCAGGAAGAATTAGTCCTGGGAAACAACATAGCCATCAGCCTGTTGTGAGAAATCTACGAAGGAAGCAGAAGATTGGAGCTTTAGGAAAAGGCTACAGTGTCAATAGAAAGGGTGTAATTCAGGTAGGCAAGAGAAAACACTGCTGGAAGATTATAGATGTATGTTTAAATCTTTGAAAAAAACTTTACTTGTGTCATCTACTGAAACTCTGATATGGCTCTTTGTTGTTCAGATGTTTGTGCAGAGAATACTTGTCTTTGTAAATTCCAGAGCTAATGGTGATGTTGGGGCAGCGGGATATGGGGGAAGAGGGAGAGAAGAAAGGAACTGTGCAGAGGACACACATCTCAGTTCTTTTTAATAAAAATGACTTCTAGGGGACTTTTTGGGTGAAGGGGAAGATTTTTGCACAAAATTAAAATCTGTCCATCGGAAACAAGGGAATTAAACTCTAGTGCTGTACATCTTGTATATAAGTTCTGTGTTACGTATGTGTGATACATACTTATGGATCTGAGTCTGATCTAATTTACAATAGCTTTACATAACATTCTGGTTCAGGGTAGAAAGCATGTCCATTTTATGACAAGCTGGACTGAATCCTCAGACCTCACCCTTCAGTGCAGCTTGAGGAACTGCATACTAGAACGGAAGCAATTTGCAATAATAGGAATGAAGAGGACATGGTCAACTACCTGGCCTGCTCCTCCTCCTCCTCCTCCTCCACAATCCTCCCTTTGTGGAGGCTGATGCCAGGAGTGTCCTGGCCAGAGTTAATGGGGGAGCAGGTGACTGGCCCCCCTTCTCAGGATGGCATTGAGCTATTAATGGGGGAGCAGGTGACTGGCCCCCTTCTCAGGATGGCATTGAGCTGTTTGTAGTACTGTTTGTAGTACTGTTTGCCTCCCCAGAGTGTCCGCTCTGCTTCTTGGGCCTGCCTGAGCTCCTTAATTTTCATGCAGATCTGGTTGAGGGTCCACGTGTGTCCCTTCTTGGCCAGGCTGGTGGCCATCCTACCATAGACATCCGTGTGGCACCCTCTGGTGCAGAGATCCTGGAGTTCTTCTCACCACAAACCTCGATGAGATCCAGGATCTCTGCATCAGTCCAGGCTGGTACTCTCCTGTGTCCCTGGCTGCTGTGGGAGTGCTGGCAGCCATGGGGGGCTCAGAGGGAGCGCTGGGCTTGGCCATGGCTCCTGTGCTGCTGCAGTGTGCCGCAAGCCCTTTTCCTGTAGCCTGTTGCTTTAAAGGCTCCACAGGAGAAGGGGACCAGTGAAGATGGCAAGGTGGCCAGAACATCCCAAGTGCAGTTGTGAGAGGCCTCTGGAGGCCAGTTATTTTGAATTAGCAGCAGCTGAACTTCCACACTAACACTATTTCAAAATAACAATTTCAAAATAAGCATTATTCACCCTGAAAAGCAGGAGTACAGAGATCACAATAACCAGCCCCTTATTTTGAAATAATGGGCTTAGTAGTGTTGTTGCTCCACTTATTATTTGAAATATCTCCCTAGTGTAGGCTTTTCCTAGGCTTTCAGGGCTACTGGCTCATGATTGCTTCTCTGGCTTTGCTGGCTGCCTGACTCTCATGCACACTGTTTCTTGCAAAACAATAATTTTGTCCCTCTATTTGCAACCAGCCCCAACAGAAATCCTCTAGGCTATGTCTGCATTAGAGAGCTTGTACTGATGTAACTGTGTCACTATAAGATTTCTTGTGTAGCTGCTCTATGCTAATGGGAGAGAGCTCATTTGATGTAATTAAACCACTCCCAGCTATGTTAATTGGAGAAGCTCTCTATACCAGCATTTAGTGTAACTTACATCCTCAGTAGAAACAATGATGGCACCTAAAGACTAAGGGCACGTCTACATTGTAGGGCAAAAGTCAAATTAAGGTACACAGCTTCAGCTACGTCAATTGTGTAGCTGAGGTCAAAATAGCTTAACTCGGCTTTTGGTGCAATCTACACAGCAGGAAGTGGAAGGGAGAACACTGTTCCTCTGACTTCCTCTGCTCCTTGTACAGTGAGGCTATGTTTAGACTGGTATGATTTTCCACAAATGCTTTTAATGGAAAAGTTTTCCGTGCCAATCTAGACGCGGTTTTGCGCAAGAAAGCCCCGATCGCCATTTTTGCGATCGGGGCTTTTTTGCGCAAAACAATACCGTGTTGTCTACACTGGCCCTTTTGAGCAAAAGCATTTGCACAAGAGGGCTTTTGCCCGAACGGGAGCAGCATAGTATTTCCGCAAGAACACTGACAATCTTATATGAGATCATCAGTGTTCTTGCGGAAATTCAAGCAGCCAGTGTAGACAGCTGGCAAGTTTTTCCGCAAAAGCGGCTGCTTTTGTGGAAAAACTTGCCAGTCTAGACACAGCCTGAGGTAACAGGAGTCGAAGTATGAAGTCCTACAGCTTGACATTATTTCAAAATAATGGCTTGTTGTGTGGATGCACATTTTGTTAATTCAAAATAATGCTGTTGTGTAGACATGCCTTAACTGATTTACTTGGGCTTAAACGTTGTGGTTGGAAACCACTTTGTCAGATACATAGAATCAGCAAGGGGCCATGCGCTCCATGCATCTGATAAGTGGTTTTTACTCACAAAAGCTTATGCCCAAATAAATGTGTTACTCTTTAAGGTGCACCAGGACTCCTCATTGTTTATTCAGATACAGACTAATCAGGTTACCTCTCTGAGACTTGTCCTCAGTAGACATTTTTTCCACACTTCTGAAAGACATAAATTATACCAACACAGTACAGTAGTAGTGTGTATATATAGTCTAATTCTCCTTCTACATGAGGCCCAGTCCCTTTGGATGGTGGCTTCTATTGTTGTCACTGCATAAAAGGTGATTAATGGTTCCTTCCATTTCGGCTGAAGGAAAAAGTGCTTAGCACAAAAATCAGTGTTAGCCAGATCTATGATTATTAAAGAACATCTTGATGGCATAACAAGTTGTTCAGAAAATAAATGATTAAGCATGACTGTGAAATGTAGGGACAATGCATACATATCTCTTTGTACCATCACAGAACCTCCAACAGCCTCTTCATTCAGACTTTTTTCTCCAGTGTCATCTGTACGAATATCTCTGGTGCAGGCCTAGCTGCATTTCCCCTCTTTCACTAGAACACTTCTATTTTTCTCTTGGGCCCCCAGCACAGAGTTTTTCTGAAGCTACGTCTATACTACAGGTTTTGTTGGAAGAGCATTTTCTCACACTTCATTTGCATAATCTCTTCCTATCCGTTTTTGCAAAAGAGGTTTTTGTGCAAAAACATGCAGTGTGGACATTTCCTTTTTGCGCAAAAGCCCCCTTTTGCGCAAGATCCTTATGCCTCAAAAAAGAAGGTATAAGGCTCTTGCACAAAAAGGTTTTTTTGCACAAAAAGGAAATGTCCACACTGCATGTTTTTGCACAAAAACCTCTTTTGCAAAAACGGATAGGAAGAGATTATGCAAATGAAGTGTGAGAAAATGCTAATCAGCTCTTCATTTGCTGTTCTGGCAAAATCCATAGTGTAGGCATAGCCTGAGAGCTCTGTTTCCTTCCTATTTTGTAGTTATCTTTTAAAAAATCTAAATGTAATCTTTTAAAAATCCGGTGACTCCACAACTCCTCTTCCCTTCCCTAATTACTTTCACAATAAGCTACCGCCATCTATTAATTTATTATGAGGAATGTTAGGTATGAATCCTAATTTTTTATTCTTACCACTGCTAGTTCAGTGAGAAAGTGATTTGTAAGTAAGCAGTGACATTTGAAACTGAAGTACCACTTTTATTTCATTTCTTGATGTGATGGGGCATCTGCCCTGGACTGGCCTAAGAAGGGTTAAATCCAACCCTGGGAGAGGGCAGGGGCTGTGGAGCAAGCAGCTGCAGCAGATAGCAGCCAATTAGGGCCCAGCTGAGGGCTGTATAAATAAGGGCTTCTGACAAGAGTAGACACATTCATTCTTGCTCCGGCTGAGAAGCAGGATGGACCTAGTTGCTAGGGAAGCTAGAGATTTACTGGGGCAGGGCAGGGCAGTTAAACTCCCAAGCTGAGGCCTTGCTATCAAGACGATATTATTAGGATACATGGAAGAAGCCAGGGCAGGCAAAGGCAGCAGGTGCACACCCACTGGCCCATGATGAGTGGCCCTGTCAGACTGCAGTTTGCTCCTGAGGTAAGGGGCAAGATGATGAACAGCAGTAGGATCACTGAGGCAAGGTGGATATAGAGGGTTGGGGGATCTCTGAGGGGGAAGACCAGTGAGTATGGGAGCACTGCTGTGTGTGCGGTAGTACCTGGAGATAAGGGTGGTCTGGGAGGGACATAGGCCCTAACACTAGATGGTGGAGAATAACATGTCACAGTAGGCAAGACACTGGACAAAAGGAGATGCTTCCACACTGAACTGAGCTAATTCCCAAGTGACTTGCAGAAGGCGCTGTGGCAGTGAGTCACACTATATGGACAAAGCTGGCACCAGGGTTTGTTGCAAGGGAAAGTTCCAGTGTTGGTATTAGTGTGATATGTCCTGTAGTTGTTGGTAAGAATCATTCTGAGGTTAGGTGGTTGTCTATAAGAGACTATGGGTCTGTCTCCCAGAGCCTTTTGGAGGGTAGCATCCTGTTCCAGTATAGGTTGTAGTTTATCGATAATGCGTTGGTCGGGTTTAAGTTGGGGGCTATAGGTGAAGACGAGTGGTGTTCTATTGTTGGTTTTCTTGGGTCTATCTTGAAGTAGATCGTTTCTGGGTAATCACCTGGCTCTTTCAATTTGTTTTTTTTATTTCTCTGGGTGGGTAATTGAGGTTTATAAATGCTTGGTAGAGATCCTGAAGTTTCTGGTCTCTGTCACTGGGATTAGAGCAGATGCGATTGTACCTAAGGGTTTGGCTATAGACGATGGATCGTATGGTGTGTCCTGGATGGGAGCTGGAGGCATGTAGGTAACTGTAGTCAGTGGGTTTTCTGTAGAGAGTGGTGTCTAATTCACCATGGGTGATTTGTACTGTGGTGTCCAGGAAATGGATCTCTCATGTAGAATGGTCCAGGCTGAGATTGATGGTGGGGTGTAGGTTGTTAAAGTCTCTGTGGAATGCATCCAGTGTT